CGCCGCGGCGGGAGGGGAAGTGGCGTCCGGGGGGGCCGCGCGGCCGAGCTCCTGCCGTGTGCTGCTCTGCTGAGCTGGCCGCGGCCCCTCGGGCAGGCCGGGAAGGCGGCGCTCTCGGGGTGTGGGGCAAAGGAGGCGCAGAAGCGCCAGGCTGTTGAGGAAGTCAAACCTCGGGGTGTGTGTGCGGGAAATATCCGTGAAATGTAGGATCTTGCTAATTAAAAGTATCTCAGGCTTGTTTAAATGGCTTTGCTGTGTGCAGTAGTATCACCTCCATTGCCTCTTGGAGCGGTGAATTAACGTGGTTTCCAAGCTGTGCTTGTTATGTCATAAGCTGTGTCCTTGCTGAGGGATGGCTGCTCAGGGCGGCGGTTGTTAGACATGTGGACATGGCAATGTCCATTTCAGCTGAATCCGTTGTGAAAGGGTGTCTCTACCAGAGGCAAATTTTGAAAAACAGATTTCTGCATCTAAAGACATTCTGAAAAAAAGAAAAGCATCTGCATATAAATAGAGGGTTTTTTGTAGTATTTTGTAATATTTACTGCATGCTAAGTGATTGTTCGTTGCATTAGAGAAATGTACTTCAATAATTTTGTTGACTTTAAGCAAAGTGGAAAAATACCTAACAGTAATGCAGGTAGTGTTCTGTTACTTTGGTGAATAGCAGCTCACCTGCTTTCTTGAACTTGGTTGATGTTACGGATATATGGAATGATTTATGCTTTGAGGGAAGGCTGAAAATGAAAAATTAACCCGATTGGTAAACAGTAAACTTAAAGATGTAAGTACTTCTGTCTCCTATTACAGAGGCTATAGTTCTGAGACAATCAGTTTAAACACGGGTGTTTGAGAGATTCCTTTCTAAGGAAATCATTTTGAAAGCTGTTATTTCAACAACCATTGACTGATCAACAGCTTATATTCACGTCAGATGAATTGCTCTCAGACTTGTTAAAACACAGGTAATAAGCACAGTAGTACTCTAGCAATTTCATGTTTTGTGCTTAAGGGAACTCCTTTCTAGTGAACTGCATACTGTTTCTAGGCATTTTTCTTTTTTACTTTAAAGGGGGTAAATGTGCCACTTTCAATCATGCAGCTTCATGTGGAGACTCTCAGACGGTGTTGAAAACACATATCAAACACTTCGTTCAAAGATATCATACTTATTTCTAGCTTGTCTAATGTTTGAAGCAAGCTGTGAGGGCTGAAGGCCAGGACTCTTTAAGAAATAATGCTTTGGATGCAAAGGGCTTTCCTCTTTTCCAGAACTCTAGTCAAAGCACCTGACAGTAATGTTGCCCTAGGTTTGCAAATTTCAGGATGTTTCTTCAGCTGATGATTGTCCTGACAGGATGCGGCTACTCATCCCTGAATTATGTGAGGCAGTATTTGCAAGTAAGCTATCTTGTGTTACTGAGTATTAATTAATAAGCCACAGGGTTTTGCCAGGCATCTCTGTCATTTCCAACACTAAAACCGTAACAGTTTATTGACATGTGAAAGCACGTGTGACTGTGCACAGCATTATTGTACTTGGTTTCAAAATTCTTAGTCACTTGGCTGTTCCCCTCAGTGGGAGCATTATTCTGGACTTCCAGTCCTCGTACTGGAAACTAGTGTAAGATTGGAAGAAAGAAAAAAACAACTTATCAAAAAGGTACCATTTGTTTGCTGATATTATTTATATATCAAAATGGATTACATAAATGACTGATTATTATTCACAGTCTGTCTTCAGAGACCTGCACAAAAGAGAAGGATTGGCACCATACTTGTAGTGAAAAGTAACAAAGACATTTTAAAGCATGATTCTCAGTTCTGTATGTGTGTTTACAAGGAATCCGGGCCTACATTTCTTGAAAGGTCTTTATGGTTTTCTGACTCTATGCTCTTTTCTGTGGAAACCCTATTCACTGGTGTCTGAGATGGCAATGAGTAATCTTTTGTCAGCTGTGCTCCATATGCTAATTACAGAAGAAAGACAAAGTAGCTCGTTTCTTGGAGAAGTCCTGAGGTTATGGGCTGGGAGGAGAAAGGTGTCAAGGACAAGAGTTAAAAGATCAGAAGAGTCAGGAAGGGATTATGTAATGATGAGCTTTTGGTTAAGCTTTGAGTGATTTACATAATGGCACATGTACAATCTGTATTTTGTATGCAAACATTGCTGTAGTCTTCTGCTTCTGCACTTAGCAGCCATGCATTGGTGCCAGATTCTGGCGTCTTAATGCACTGCACCAAAAACAGTTGAGAACAGTTCTCTATTGACAGTTATGTAACTGTAGAAAGTACTACAATTATCATGCACATTATTTGTAGCAAGAATTCTTATTTGCATAGAACTACATTGGTTTGAGTCCTGCAGCTGTTTGTAATACAGTTTGTATTTTTGCAAGATATTCAAAAAGGGCTTAATTCTTTTAGTGTGTGTGGTCTGCAGGTTTCTTAAATATTATCTCTGATATGCAGCCCTGTCAGATAAATATTTGACACTTTCTTACTTAAACAGACATTGACAGAGGAAAGCTGCTTGTTACTCCATGGTTTTCAGAGTTTTATTGTATTCAATTTAGACATTGCATAGTTGAAAAATTGTAAACATTTAACTTATTCAGGGAGCTAATGTTGGTCTTTTGTGCTTGCATTTAAATTAGTTATTTCTGATGTTAAAAATATGTAAATTTATCTTAAACTTCAATTCTAAGGCAGAAATTACCTAAGACTGCATCATCGTTGTAATAAGACATCTGGATCACGTGAGAATACAAATATTAAAATCTGAGCTGTTAGCTGAACTTCTAGCATCTATTTTTTTGAGGTTTGTTGCACATATACAGGGTACATAAGCAGAAAAAAAAAAAACCTACTGAAAAAACTCAGAATCAAAGGATTGGATTGTAGTATTGCAGCTGTAGAGGATGTTGCTTTTTCACCTTTCAGTTAATAAAATGATAGGGAAATGCCCCTAGTAGAGTTGTAAGCCTCATTCTCACTGGGAAGGTATGCTGCCTGAATCAGTATGTTGACATGTGAAAACTTTTAAGATGGAACATTTCATAAGCAAACACTCAATTTTTATTGAAGGATTAATGAGATGATTTGGTTGGCAGTTGAAATACAAAATATTTCATACATTTTTATAAACTCTGGGATATCCTGTAGTTAACTGTAGTGCTAAAATTTATTTATTTTTGATATTGTCTCAAATTCATGCATAAGTAATCATTCTATCAGCTGGGTAAATCTGTTTATAACTTCTATTTTAGATGATGAGTGCTTGTGGATAGATGAAATGCAGCAAAACGTGTTGACGTAGAAATTGGTGGCATGGATATGACTTTCAAAAAGGAGAAAGATAAAATTGAAAAGGGAATGGAGTGGGTATTCAAAATAACCCAGTGACACAGGTTCCATAATTTCTGGGTCAAATTCCATATAAACCTATTTCAATGCTGTTCCTTAAGGCGGGGGCAGAGGGAGGGATATAAGCAACTGGAAGGACCAAAATTTACTAAACAGAATTTCTGACTTTTCTTTTCCTCTTGCAGCACAACACTAGATTTGTAATGAAATGGAGTCTGGATCAAGCTCTTTTCGAGTGGAATTTCCAGATTTTTCTAGCACCATTTTGCAGAAGTTGAACCAACAGCGCCAACAAGGACAATTATGTGATGTGTCCATTGTAGTTCAGGGCCATCTCTTCAGAGCCCATAAAGCTGTCCTTGCAGCTAGTTCACCTTACTTCTGTGACCAGGTGCTCCTGAAAAACAGCAGGCGAATAGTCCTGCCTGATGTGATGAATCCAAGAGTATTTGAAAACATTCTTCTGTCCACCTATACAGGTCGGTTGGTTATGCCTGCTCCAGAAATTGTGAGTTATTTGACAGCAGCAAGTTTTCTTCAGATGTGGCATGTAGTAGATAAATGCACTGAAGTGCTAGAGGGGAACCCAACAGTTCTCTGTCAGAAGATGAACCATGGCAGTGATCATCAGTCCCCAAGTAGTAGTAGTTACAATGGCCTTGTTGAAACCTTTGAACTTGGCTCTGGAGGACAGACAGAATTCCACAAGGTGCAGGAGCTGAGGGATGGTGAAAATGAAGAAGAAAGTTCTAAAGATGAACTGTCATGTCAACTAACAGAACATGAGTACCTTCCCAGTAATTCTTCAACAGAACATGATAGACTCAGCACAGGAATGACAAGTCAGGATGGTGAAGAAGGGACTAGCGATAGTGCAGAGTATCAGTATACAAGACCGATGTATAGCAAACCCAGCATCATGTCTCACAAGCGGTGGATCCATGTGAAACCAGAAAGATTTGAACAGGACTGCGAGGGTGTTGATAATCCATATGATGAACACCAAGTTTCTGAATCCGTGAATGCCATTCAGGCAGAACATTCAATCCAGTCGTCAGGTGTGGAAGACTTTCATATAGGTGACAAGAAGATGGAGGCAGAATTTGATGAGCAGGCAGATGAAAGCAATTACGATGAGCAAGTTGACTTCTATGGCTCTTCTATGGAGGAATTTTCTGGTGAAAGGGCAGATGGAAATTTAAGTGCTCACAGACAGGATATTATGATAGCAGGCTATGGTGAAGGTATTGAAATGGCTACAGGAATTAAAGAAGAAACGTCCCTCACTGGTTTCTCACATGCTGATAAGCTGTATCCTTGTCAGTGCGGTAAAAGCTTTACACACAAGAGTCAACGAGATCGACATATGAGTATGCACCTTGGTCTTCGACCTTATGGCTGTGGTGTCTGTGGTAAGAAATTCAAAATGAAACACCATCTTGTTGGCCATATGAAAATTCATACAGGTATAAAACCGTATGAGTGTAATATCTGTGGCAAAAGATTTATGTGGCGGGACAGTTTTCACCGGCATGTAACTATTTGTACCAAATCATATCAAGCTTCTAAAGCTGAGCAGAGTACTACTGAGATGAATTAAAACATTAGTGCTTACATTTCTTTAGTAGTGTAAGCAAAATAAACTAATTATGCAAATAACGTCTGGTACTTGCTATTGTGAAATTTAAATTCTCAGAAAAACATTCTAGAGATTATGCTTGTTTGAGTAGACCAAACTATTTTTTGTTTTTTTGCGGTATGTGTGAAGTAGAAATGATTAATCTGAAAGATGCTTGCCAAATGAGATCTGTAAAGCATTAGTGATATTGTTGATTGCCCTTGCAGGAGTATTCGGAAGCCCCATTGTCTTCCTAAGTCTTGTAAATTCACAGTGAAAACAAATTCTAAATTGATGCAAACTCTGCAAATATTTGTGTAAAGCAGGTATTCCAAGTATCCTCAATGGGGAAGAGAACAACAAGGATGACCACACCAGGTGATGTGGGCTACCTGTCCTAAAATTTGCATGATTTCTGATTTAATGGAGAAAAACATATATAATTTCACTTCAGTCTGGAAACTGCTAATGCTATTAACATGCTTTTAAGTAGTCTTTTGATGTGTAGCTTAATGAAAAGCTGTATTAAGGCTAGTTTGACATTTATTTGTCTTCTGTTTTTTTATCCATCTTTAGTAAAATATCTAGTTGTCTAATTTTGTGTTTATTTTTGTTTAAAGAGTCTGTAAGGCACTTAACTATAGTTGAGCACTATATAAACTTAAAACTATTTTGAATGTAATTTGTCTTTGCTCCTCTAGGGTCTAATGCTGTATGACTCTTGGTTTGACTCTCAATTTTGATTGCTATATCATGAGCGCTTTTAGAAGTGTGTGTAATTAGTATGTATTGTCAAAAAAAAAAAAAAAGAGGGAGATGTAATATTTGGGTCTCATACAAAATACTGAAACCTTTTAACTGCAGTCTTAGGTTCAATTGTTTTTGACTTACTGCAGTAGCAAGTACCAAACTCTGTACATTTACAAAATGACTTTTTGGTACTAAGATTGTTTGAGAACCTCTATGTTTAGAGAAAAAAATAGTCATAGGTATTTATACATTTAATTCTTTACTATTTGAACATTGAGCTATAATACAGATTCTTGGTACTGAACTACTGTGACTGGTTACAGGTGATCACAAGCAGCCAGAGTTGTTTGCCTGTTTGAATGAAACTGCTTGTTGAGAAAAAGTGGAAAGTGTTATATTTGGATCCACTAATGGTACTGAAGAACATGGTCACATCTCAAGTCTGGGTTTTTGCTGGGGAAGTGGCACCTGTGCTCTGTTTGGTTAAGGATCTATGTGCTGGTCTCTTAACTGGAGAAAGATGTGGGAGTGTTTATTACTTTGAGACCTGCTGCCAGCCCGCGGGTAGAGTGAAGGTGTCAGTTGTGAAGGAGACAATAGGATTTGAGGGTTGGAAGCTTAGTGCTTTCCTATGTGAGAGCAGTTAACCCTTCTTTGTAGTTTCCTGAAACCTAGTGTAAAAAGGAAAGAGCCTTTAGAGCATAGTTTGACTATAATTCAAGTCAATGTAGTGTTGGTGGAAAACACCAATGCCGGTGTTTTGAAAACAAAACAAGCAAAAGAACAGTTAATGAGCATCAAAGGCCTTCTAAGCCTCTCTGGGCCTAATTTATATATTTGATACTGCAATCTGCAGAGTAACATACCTAAATTAAAAAAAAAAAAGGAAAAGAAAAAAAAACACCCTGTATATTGAAGCAAAACCACACAAATATGATTCTCATCTTGATGCTTTTTTGAACTCTCATTTGAAAATCATTGGAAGATACAAACAAACTGTGTTCTGAATGTGAATGTCTGGCACAAGCTGGGCCTTGTTACTCAGCTGTAGTTAAAATGCCAGAAAAAAATACAGTAATTATAAACTTTGATTTTTTTAGAGGCTCTTCACTCTTAATCTTTTGAAGCTTCAGATATTTTTTCATATGGAACTTTGTTTAAGCAGATATTCCCAAATATGATGAAACCATTGCTGGCAATGGGCATGAATGGTCTGCACCAAGGAGTTCCTATTTGAGCACTTGATTGAACTATATGAAATACTGTGGTGGCCATGTGTAATCCTTGCAATCAAGGTAACTAAACAGGGATTTGCTCACTGACACTGTAACCTGCTTAATGTATAGAAGCACTTTGTATAAAAAAAAATCTTTATATGTATGTTTTTTAAACTTAAAAATTATATTCCCTTTATGGTTTGTTTCCACATTGCTAACACTGTCTTAATATTAAAATTTAAAATACTTGCCTGTTTACATGAGTGTAGAGGAAAGGGTTCTGTACTCACTGGCCCTATCTTTCCATTCTCCAAGGCCTTACCACGTACAGGATGTCACTTCTGCAAGTATCATTATTACATTTGAGGAAGGTATTCTCATACTCATTCCAAGAATGATCTCGTATCACAGAATGGTTGAGGTTGGAAGGGACCTCTAGAGATCATCTAGCCCAACGCCCTGCTCAAGCAGGGACACCTGGAGCCCATTGTACAGGATTGCATCCAAGTGGGTTTGAAAGATCTCCAGAGGAGATTCCACAGCCTCAATGGGCAGCTTGCTCTAGAGCTCTGGCAGCCTCACAGTAAAGAATTTCTTCCTCTCATGAAGGAAGATATACATATATACACACACACACATATATATATACACAAATAAAACCTTGTTTATCAGCCCATTTCAAATTGTGACACCAGTGTTATGTAAAAAAGGTTAAGGGTGCCACATCACGTTTAACCATAAAAAAGGCTGGTCAGAAATCCCAGACTGAGGACCATGGTCAAGTAAAAAGTTATTTTCATTAAAACTGGATCGTCCTATAGAGCTGCCAACAAAACCATCTCTTTTACCATCTCGGAATGATTTTTGTGAAGCATTTGAAAGTTAAACGTTATCCGTATTTGCAGTTAGATTACACTGCAATAAAGCTTTAAGATAAAATGTACAGAGACACTTAAAAAAATCTTATACAGGTGTTCTTTTTAGTGATTTATCATAAATAGTAGCTTTCTCATATTGGGCTACTACTGTTTTACCAGTACTATAACATTGTATTGAAACACTAATGGTGTTGCTCTACTGTTTTTTGTTTGTTTGTTTTTTGTTGTTGTGTTGTTTTGTTTTTTTTGATATATATATATTTTTTGGTAACACTTCCTGATGATAATCATATGAAACCAGGAAAATGTTATGATTGTTGTGATCTAATTGAGAGTATGATAATTTAAGGAAATTTGAGATTTATCTAACATCCTTTTTCATAAGCTGTTATTGCAGGCAAAATAGTCTCAAAGTATTTTTACAGAATTTAATTTATTGCCTGTCTAATCACCAATTCAGAGACTGAGAAAATGAAAACAAAGTACAACAAAACACTTGAGGAAACACTTTTTCTCCTCCTTCCCCAAAACTCTGCGTAAGTCAAACACATTTCTTTCCCCTTTTCTACTTTAGATTTTTTTTTTTTTTTGTTCATCAGTGGCAAAAGGGTGTCCCTTCCCACTCCTTGGTGCGGTGACAGTTGACAGTTTTGTTTTGTATGTGCACTGGTCTCTGCTGCTGCTTTGCGCTTTGGTGTTCCTGTCCCTGTGTGGCTTCTCCATGGTCAGCAGTCTTCAGGGTTGCACTTGCTCTGGAACAGGTACTCCAGGGTTCAGTCGCTCCTGAAGCGCATGGTTCGTGCAGGGGCCATAGGCCCTCAGAGGTTTGCCTCCTTCCAAGAGTGCATCTCCGTTCATGTCTCCCTCCACTTTTCCTTGCGTTGCCAACCATTTTTCCCCAGGGGCATCTCCTCCTTGCGTCTCCCTACATATCCCACTAGGATCTGCTGCTCCCTAACACATGCAGAAGCAGGGGGGTCATGGGCACTTCTAGTTGAAGTTTTGGCATGCAGTTGGTTGTTTATATAAGTTTGAGTCAGCTCTGAACCCAATCTTAAACTGCCCTCTGGCAGTTTTGACCTGCTCCCACACGGGTCGTGCTTGCAGCCCCTTGCCACTGAAACTCTGCAATTTATGCCCAAGGGAGCTGGAGTTAAACTAAGAAGAGGAAAAGCAGATGCAGCTTCTGTCAAACTCTAAAACATCGCTGATGAGGTGGACTAGCTCAAGATATAAGAAATTATTTCTTGTTTGTGCAAAGGAGGGAAGTGATCCATATATATATATGTATATAATATAAATTCATGTGTGTATGGGTCGATTTCATTTATCTTCCCTTGCGTTTCTTCACCTGTAATGATACTGTTTGGGAACTTATTTGCATTTTTATAATTAACACCTCCCACTCTGTGAGTCAGATTGGATTTTCATTCCATTCTGTAGTTAAGGTGTTCATTACTGTGGAATCATAATTGCAATGCTGAGAAAATTTAAGTACTGGCAGGGTTAAGATCTCTCTGTAGGAGTTTATCTGACCCTTTTGATGGAGAAAGTTCCTATTCCATACACTACTACTTTTTTCTTTGTTTTTGTTTATGGTTGTCGGGGGGAGGTTGTTTGTGGGTTTTTCTTTTTTGTTGTTTTAATAGCAGCTGCATGCAGCAGCTGTCTTTTATAGATGATCAGGTAGACTCTGGAAGATATTGTTGGTAGTTTTTGGTCTTAGCCCTTTTTTGTCCGAGGTGTTTCTGGCTTTAAGCAATTTTATCACGTCTCAGAAGTAAGGAGTGAGGGGTGATCAAAGGCTGATACACAGCATGTCTTTATTGTAAAATCAATACTTGACATCCCCGTACTGTTGAGCCTGAAAGAATGGAGACACATCAGATCTTGTAATCCCAACATGTTTGTGCTGGTGCCAGTAAGTTGACCTGTTTCTGATTCCTGAGAGCGTACAGCAGTATATTGAGTTTGTTGCTTTAACAAAATTAGAAGCTTTCTTACAACAACAAAGAGAAAGTTAGTGTTTTTGTCAGTTAAATGTTTAATTGCACAGCTAGAGTTCTTTAGCTACAACTGTAAACTGCCAGTGCCCTACGGGAAGATGCTGGAAAAGAAAGTGGTATGCTTTTTAATGTGATTAAATTGTAAGTTCTGATTTTGCTTGAGGCCTGTGTCTGTCAATTGCTGCTCCTCTTTTGTTTTCCATGGGGTTCCATAATTTCTTCCAGAAATGTAACTGTTTATGCAAGTCAAGTGAATCTTACTTAATGAGCTCTAAGTTTTTATTCTAAACCAGTCATTTATAACAGTAAAATTGCATATCTTGATATTTTGTGAGATGTTATGCCTGTATTGAAGAGATTGGATAGTTTTGTCTATAAATATTGCTGTCCTAATTGTACAGCATGGTTTTAATTAATTTAATGTTACTGTTCAATATTTTCTTCTTATAGAAGAGTTCCATGCTCCTCTTTTGTATGACGTGTTTTAATAAATGTTATCTGTCAATTTTGTAAATGTTTTCTTAAGCTTGGATGAAAGGAATGCATGTCTAGTACTAGTATTTCATATTTCACTTTTGTCAAAAGGGTAAGTGCTCAAGCAAAACTTTAAATCCAAAAGTTGTTGATATATAACTTTATTAAATATCTAAAGAAAAAAATGCATCTAGTAATGCTTCTTTTTGAAATGTCATAAATGCCAACTTCACTTAAGAAAACACTTAACTAAAAATGGGTATTTAAAGCATGAAAAACTGATGAAAATGTAGAAATGGGTCTGTTTCTACAGTGTAGATAATTAGTCCTCATGTTTGCCCACATTTTTCCATCAGGCTTTAAGGTAACCAGTTTTCTCAGAATACTGATCTCATAGTTCAAGTAAAGTATGTCCAGGGTGGTATGAAATTCCCAAACACTCAACAATAGCAGAAACCACATGTCCTAGAGGCCTACAGGCAATTTTATAGTATGTTTAATTATGTGCCAGTTTTTCCTTATCCATGCATGCAAGAAATTTAATAGATTTTTCACAATGTTAAAGGTTAACTTCCTTCATGATTTTATGACAAATTCCTTCTCTTCCCATCCAACTTCAGGTATTCTTACTGGAAAAAAAAAATCCAGCCTCTACGTACTTAGTCCTCATAGACCTGTCATAGCGGACACTTACTCAACATCTGAATGCTTCCTATCAGAAAGTGAGTTTGCTTTCACTCAAAACATACTTGGTGAATTCCTGGAAAAATCAGTATTTATATCTTCCACAGTCTTCCATGTTCAGCAACTTTAAACAGAATGTGATGCAAGAGGATTCCTTTATTGCTGCTTCAGATTTACATTTAATGAGTGAACACAGTTATTTGATTCCCAGATGTCAGCAGATGAATGCTGCTTCCATGTCTATGCTATTGAATTGTCTGGTCTTTATGCTGCAGCCTGGAGAGATTCAAGGGCGCCGCTGCTCTGCTGCAGGGCAGCTCCACGCGTTTTTGCAGCTGACCTTCCCTGTGCTTTAGAAGGCCAGAGAGAAGCATCGTCGCGGCCAGCGCCGTGTCCAGCAGGGCCGCGCGCGGCGGTGCCTCCGTGCGGCCCTGCCCGCGCGCCCCACGGCTGCGCCTTCA